GTGATGCAGAGTCGCACGAAGATTATCGAGGCGATGTCACTGGTTACCGTGTTGCCTTCAGACATAATGATTCCATTTTTGGAAGCGCTTTTCGTGATCGTCGAGTTATGCACCCCGATTCGAGACGCCTTATTTTCCGTGCTGAAGAATGGAATCTTCTCCAAGTAAGACAATGAGCATCACATGGTCTCCGGCATAGTAATGATTGCTCATAATTTATTGATTTGCTGTATATGCTGTAGATATGTTGTTGTCATGTTCTTTGCGGATCATTCGTTTAGAAGTTCTGCACATAAAGTGATTCTTATTGCCACTTTCAGTTAGAACTTTTATTTTCTCTTCTATCACGTATCATGAAAACTGTGACGTACGTCGTATGGTTGCATCTACAGGTTCTGTAATCGTTTCATCGCTTTGAATGCTTCATTGCCACATACATTTTCTGTAATCATTATGGTCAGTCATTACTCATAACGTGTTACATCTCATTTGCACTCAAAGGTAAAGGACTATAATTCCTTAGTCTTCTCGTTTTTAATTCGAATGATATCTATGCGCACCTATGCCTGCGTGCAAAAGGAGATATTATGAAGAGGCGATGAAAAGGGTAACGATTTAGTAAATTCAAATGTTCTGCGTCAAAGCTTCAGGAAGGAAATGAAAAATCTGACTGAATTCCAGAAAGTGTCTTCTAGTCATAACTCCAACGGATCGGTTATGATCAGCTCAGTGCTTTGGTTTTGGACCGTGTTTGAAGATTATTCAAGTTTAACATAAGAGTATCACTAATTTGTTTCAAAGGTTGCAGCGGTTACTCATTGCTTTTAATGATTTGCGTTAAGCCGGCGTCTGAATGAAGTATTCACTTTCTTAGTAAGCAGTATAAGGATAGCATTCAAGAACTTTTTGCTCTCCACAACGGCGACTAATTTCCTGCTTTATGTAGCAGCATATGAGGAACATCAGTTCCTGAAGCGTCGATTACAATGAATGTGATTTCACAGCCAAAATATGACGCCAGATGTATTTGGAAGTGCAGTACTCAAGTGCCATGGAGTAACGACCTGCACAAATGCTTCTTGGCAATTGGTAGCAACGAAGAGGTACAATTTCCAATGAAGTCTGGGTTTGAATGAGTTATGAGCCATTCCTACTTTTTACGTATTGTCGAAATAAAGCTTACATAACTTTTAAATGCAAAAATACTGTTAGATGTAATATTTGGCTAAATCGAAATTCAAAAGACCGAAGAATTCGAATTTCTAAACCCTAGTTCATTGGAACTTTGCTGATCGAATCGAACTACATATCATGATCGTGGGATAACGAATACACGATTTGTTCCTTACACTTCCGTACCACAAACTGTAGCCAATCAACTGCCTCCTCAATCGGGCGGAAATGGAACAATCTGTAAACAACACCAGAAATCTGTAAACCACTGATCGAGATCACTCGTTACTTTAGTTCAAATGTTCTTATCAGGTTTTTGATAGCGCCTTAGATTTCTGTTATAATTATGGAACAGAATTTGCCATTAAGCATTCGATGTTTCTCTCCCAAGATATGTAGGTGTTCTTTTAACTGAAAACCCAGTCTCGAGTGACCACTATCTTTTGTGTGAACGCCTGTATAACAGGGTAGGGTCCTTCAATTGATTGTTGGGTAATACCAAAGATTGTCGCACTGCCTGAGGTAGCGGGCAGGTAAGTGTTCTTTGATGCACAAGTTCACCTTACACTTCATTTCAGTGTCACTTTTTTTGCAGTCGACTCTGGGGT